CTGACACCCCAAAGTACTGAAAAAAAAAATTTTTTACCACATGAAATATTAATTTTAATACACACAAACTGAAGAAGACATGCACAGTTTCATGACACTTACCTTTATTGAAGATCTGGTGATGATTGATGGGATGGGAGGAGGGGAGAGTGTTGATGGTGTTAGTGTTTAGAAGGGGAATCCCCTTCCATTAGGACTTGAGGTGGCAAGTCCTTTTCCGGGGTTACTTCCCTTCTTCTTTTAATGCCACTAGGACCAGCTTCAGAGTCACTGGACCTCTGTCGCACAACATATCTGTCCTTAGAGGCCTGTACCTCCCGTTCCTTTATGACATTCCTAAAGTGTTTCACAACATTGTCAGTGTACAGGTTGCCAACACGGCTTGCAGTAGCTGTGTCAGGGTGATTTTCATCAAAAAAGGTTTGCACTTTAAGCCACATTGCACACATTTCCTTAATCTTTGAAGTAGGCAACTTCTTCACTTTCTCTATCCCCTCCTCTGAAGCAGTTTCCTCAGGTGTGGCCTCTTGCTGTTGAAGATGATCTAGCAGCTCATCAGTGGTTAGTTCTTCATTGTCCTCCTCCACCAACTCTTCCACATCCTCCCCGATAACCTCTAACCCCAAGGACTTCCCCAATGCCACAATGGATTCCTCAACTGGCATAGGATTCCCAGGGTTAGCCTCAAACCCTTCAAAATCCCTTTTGTTGTTTACACATTCTGGCCACAGCTTTTTCCAAGCAGAGTTCAAGGTCCTCTTAATCACTTCCTCCCAAGCCTTACCTATAATGTTTACACAATTGAGGATGCTAAAGTGATCTCTCCAAAACTCTCTTAGAGTCAGTTGAGTTTCTGAGGTCACTACAAAGCACCTTTCAAACAGCTTTTGTGTACAGTTTCTTGAAGTTTGCAATGACCTGCTGGTCTATGGGCTGCAGGAGAGGAGTGGTATTAAGAGGCAAAAACTTCACCTTAATGAAGCTCATGTCCGCAGAAAGTCGCTCTGCCAAGTCTGAAGGATGACCAGGAGCATTGTCTAATACCAGGAGGCACTTAAGGTCCAACTTATTTTCCAGGAGGTAATTTTTCACATTGGGGGCAAATGCATGGTGTAACCAGTCATAGAAAAAGTCCCTAGTGACCCATGCCTTACTGTTTGCCCTCCACAGCACACACAGATTAGCCTTAAGGACATTGTTTTTCCTGAACACACTGGGAGTTTCAGAGTGATACACCAATAAAGGCTTCACTTTGCACTCACCACTAGCATTGGCACACATCAACAGAGTAAGCCTGTCTTCCATAGGCTTATGTCCTGGGAGTGCCTTTTCCTCCTGAGTAATGTAGGTCCTGCTTGGCATTTTCTTCCAAAACAGGCCTGTTTCGTCACAATTAAACACTTGTTCAGGTTTCAGTCCTTCACTGTCTATGTACTCCTTGAATTCCTGCACATATTTTTCAGCCGCTTTGTGGTCCGAACTGGCAGCCTCACCATGCCTTATCACACTATGTATGCCACTACGATTCTTAAATCTCTCAAACCAACCTTTGCTGGCCTTAAATTCACTCACATCACCACTAGTTGCTGGCATTTTTTAATTAAATCGTCATGCAACTTCCTAGCCTTTTCACATACGATCGCTTGAGAGATGCTATCTCCTGCTATCTGTTTTTCGTTTATCCACACCAATAACAGTCAACATCTTCCATCACTTGCGATCTCAGTTTCGAAAACATAGTTGCACCTTTGGCAAGAACAGCTTCCCTGATTGCCGTTTTCTTGCCCACAATAGTAGCGATGGTTGATTTGGGTTTTGTGTAGAACCTGGCCAGCTCGGAGACACTCACTCCACCTTCATACTTAGCAATGATCTCTTTCTTCATATCCATAGTAATTCTCACCCTTTTTGCTGTAGGGTTGGCACTAGAAGCTTTCTTGGGGCCCATGGTGACTTATTTTGCAGGTGCAATCACTACAAACGCTGTGATAATATGAAATGTTCCGATTGAATGTTTGGATGGGACCACGGTGGCTGGCTGGCTTGTAAACACTGGCACCCACGGAACTAAGTGAGGCGCCCTCAGGCCACAAGTGGACGCGTCTCGAACGGAACGAATAGCGTTGGTTGGGTTTTTTAGCGCTAGTCGAGGCAAAATTTTTACATTAAAATGTATCGCTAGTCGGATTTAACGTTAGACGATGCCAACGTTGGTCGAGGGTCCACTGTATAAGAATTTCCTGAGCAAGTTGGCATATATGGGGATCTGCTTATGGATGGATTACGATTAAGGCAAACAATGGTTTGCTTCAAAATAATGGCAACTTTTACATTAAAATTTGGGTTCATGATGTTAGCAATTAGGGTTGAGTTTTACAGAACCTTTGATAGCAATATTAAAGCTGTTTAAGCATAATTGTATGATTTTAATAAAGACACAGTATACTGTTACCTATGAACACTTTAGAGAGTTGCTTTAATCTTGTAGTGTGGCCTGTTGCCATACCCAAATGTTATTTTTTTTTTTTATATTTTATCAACATGAGCCATTTCAATGTGTAGTGTGATCAAAAAAAGGAAATACATTATTTATTAACTCAGTAGCCATCTTGCTATAAGTGCACCTATATTTTCATGTGTGTAACTGAAAATATACATAACATATTCAGTTATAACAATGCCTTATTTCCTTTGGGAAAATTCATTAAGGAGTAGCCTCAGCACAATATGAAGACATTATTAATGATTTGAAAGTTTTAAGTTTTGAAGGAACATATTCAAACATTTTACAAAATTCCACATACTACTATGCTTTTCATGAATGAAGCAATCATTACTACTGAATCCTTATACCAAGCATATTTATTTCACAGAATTCTTAGCAGGAAAAGGTAGAGCCTCTTTATTATTTTGGGTGTGAGGAGGAAAAGAAACGGCAAGATATTTGATGTTTTTTGTGTAGTTCATTAGCATTCAGTATATCTTAAGTATTTTTATCCATTTGAGTTTAGTAAGGACTTAAATGCAAGACACATGGTTAAGCATCATTTTAAAAACATGTCCAATACCTGCTATAACTAGACGAGTCCCTTTTCTCGAGAATATATAATTACTTTAACTGTAATACTATTATGGAAATAATGTAAGGTTTTAAATGATTTATAAATAATGCTATAGTTGTGACAGAGGAAATTACTGGTCAATACAATATTATGATGTGGTTACTAGGGATGGAAAGTTTTACCAATACTAATGCAAAATTTGAGACTGATACCAATACTGAGTTCTAGGCTGGTACCCATACCCAGTTTTAGCCTGATACCAATTCCCAGTTTTAGACTTATACTGATATTCAATTCCAGGTCAATACAGATACCCAGTTTTAAGTTGATATCAAGTGCCATAAAAATTAGTCGATACCCACTGATACCGATACTTTGGCACACCCTAGTAGTTAATCAAGAGGCTAGTGAGAAACAGCAGAAATGGAGTGAAAATGACATTGAGCTAGTGTCAAATTCAGAGATAAATAGAAAAGAGAAGGGATAATATTAATGTCCAAAATACAAGCAGGCCCTACTGTACGGTGTTTTGTTTTACAGTGTTTTGCTAATGTAAAAGTTCTCATTTACACCCATTCTTCATTTATTCAGACTTCCTACAATAAATATATTCACCACTCACTATACGCTAAGGATGAAAATATTTTAGGATAAGTAATTTGTGTACTGTATAAGCATTTTTTAAGACTTAGCTCTGTTGCTCACTTAATAAACATGTTATCAGGCTTTTATATGCATTTGAAAATAAAAAAAGGTCTGTTTCACTTACAGCAGTAGTCTGGAACATAACTTGTTGTATAAGCAGGGCCCTCCTGTATGAAGCAGTAATGGTGAAGGGCTCCTCATTCAAGGAATTGAAACTACCCTTCCCTTCTTTGGATCAGATCTGATTATCTTCCATTCTGTAGGTGCTGTATGTCCCTTACAACTAAATAAATGTAGTGCAACATGCTTCATAGCATGGAGGGTAAGGTATTGAAGGATTATCTGAAGAATTTTTTTATGGCAAATATGCCAAGATTGAACATAATGAAGTAATATTTTGATACTGTATTTATCTGATGCAATGTTAATAACACAATGTACAATTAAGTATTTACCAAAACTAAAAAAAAAAAAGAGAAATCCATGGGGAAGTGGAGAATTCTTCTTCCGTATGCATGTCATAAGAGGTGACTAAAATGCTGGGAGAAAGGGGGGCTAGTAATCCCATTCCCTGCATAAATTACTAAATGTAGAAAGAAGAAAAGGTTTTGTTTGTTCTTTTCTGGGTCACCCTGCCTCGGTGGAAGATGGCCTGTACATTAACAAAAAATAGATGTGGAAATGATTGAGAAACTGAAAATAGATATTACCTGTATTTTCAAACTTGCAACAATATTTGATAACTAATAACAAAATTAATGGGATCATGTGAAATTGTGTCGAAATGGGTAGAGGATACATCAGTGTCACTGTGTGGTGGTTTAATATTTTTATAGATAGGGCAGTTAGTTAGGTCTTGGTTTGGAAACAAGGTAGAGAAGAGAGATGAAGAAAGGACTGGTATAGAACATGCTATTACTGTTGAAGTGATGACACTTGTATTGGTAAGACAGCAGAAGAGTTTGGTTTATTTAGAATAACACTAAATGTGCTTAACTTGGGAAAAGAAATAGGAGAATGTGGAAGAATGAAACTAGAATGGCTATGCAGGAGGCTGCAGCACATGAGTGGGTGTCATGGTAGAGTGTATGGAGTGACATAAGGTTAACAGTGCTTACAGCAGACTGCCACCCTGCTATTTATTGTGAGTTGCACTATTGGATAAATGGTGCGTAGATATATTTGGCTAATTGGAATTGAATTACTTTATTTTAAAATAATTATATTAAAGATTCCATGTTTTTTCTTTAAGGTATTAGCCATGTGGTTTTAATTATTGTTTCTTCATTTCAGATCTCTAATAGCAGTAAATGGAGAATTTTATATCGTGTATAAATGAAGAGGAAGAATTATAGAAGAATTTATTATATTGAGCTCCAAACCCTTGTCAACCTATTGGAAACCATTTAGGGGAACAGCCTGCCAGTCGTATAGCCACTTACTGATGCATTGTTTAGACAAAAAAAAAAATGGTAGAAGGAAAGTGGACATGTTTTTTTTCCTTTTTTTTTTTTCTTTAACTGGGTAGTTCAAGCATCGTGATATACTTATCTTGGTTCGGTGAGTTTATAGTCTATTGGAAGTAATAAAATGGAGTTAAATTGTTATAATTTTTATTTATAACATGCAGAGCTTTACCAGACTTTCCCTTTACTGTTTTTGGCAGCCTTTTTAACTTGTTGCATGCATTGAAAGTCCTATTATTTATTACTGTTATAATCCTATTGCACTTGGCAGATGGGACTTGTCTTATTGCCTCTAGCTAATGTTTCTGCAAGACTAGTCAGGCATTTTCAATTGGATTTATTTTTCACTGGAATCCTGTTAATGTGGTGTCCACTCTTGTCTAGAATTGCAACTAGACTTGTGGCAGACGTTATTGCATGTTCCCAACAATTTTTTGGCATTAAACCAAAAATTAAAAAAAAATCTCTAGCACATGGTTAAGTTTGATATCTACAGGAGTGATGATAATTACGCTTTTTATGCAAGTGTCTGGAGTGCTGGATACTAAGGGAGTTCTAGCATTAATTTCACTGTCAAACAGGTTTGATTAGCACCATCATTGAATGAGTATAGTGTGAAACTTGCATTTTTTTAGTTTTTTAATGTTATAACTTCTGTGCCTAAGATATTAGACAGAAGGTACTTTATAAAGTTTGACTGAATTCTTTGATTGAATCTAATTTATATTGCCATGTAGCTCATATCTTATGTGTACCCTTTATTATAAACAGTATACTGTACAAAGTTTTATAAGCTCACAGGTCAACAAAAACTAGACATTCCCTTAAAAATGTTTTGAAATAGACAAAACTTGTAAGCTTTTGTTTTCCTGTGAGACTGCAAGAACATTAAACAAACCTGGCATCATTGTGGAGTGATAACATGTAAACATTACAGTGTGTGTGTGTGTGTTTTCACCTGTTTGTGGTTGTGGGGGGGTCAAATCACAGCTCCTGGCCCTGCCTAAATGTGTGTATGTGAGTGAGTGAGCAAGTGTGTGTGTGTATAAGTGCATGTGTGAGTGTGAGAAAGTGCTTGTGTGTGTGTGAGAGTGCTTGTGTGAGAAAGTGCTTTGTGTGTGTGTGTGTGTGTGTGTGTGTGTGTGTGTGTGTGTGTGTGTGTGTGTTGTGTGTGTGTGTGTGTGTGTGTGTGTGAGAGAGAGAGAGAGAGAGTGCATGTGTGAGTGTGTGAGAGAGTGTATGTGAGTGTAGGTGTAAGTTTGTGAATGCACGCACGTGTGTGTGCATGCTTGCCTGTTTGGTTGTAGAGGTCTATTTTCAGATCCTGGCCCTGCCTCTTTACTTGCCACTCTTCAGATGCACTCCCTCTTAGTCTCATGGGGTCTATAATATCTGATATTAAAACTATGTATGGGGCCTGCCTCCACCACTTTCTTGTCAAGATCATTCAACTTTCCAACTACTTTGAGACTGAATAAATACTTCCTAATAACTCTGTGGCTCATCTGTGACTTTTAACTTCCAGCACTGTCCCGAGTTCCTGTTTCTCACCTCCCAAAGAACCTATCCCTGTCTACCTTATCAATTCTTTTGAGTATTTTGTATTTTGTATGTTATCATGTTCTCCTTGATTTCCTATGCCCTCCATTGTCTTTAGTCCCAGTACCATTACCCTCTCCTCATAGATCATGCTTTTACCTCAGGAATAAGTCCCTGTTGCATACTTCTGCACTTTATCGAGTTTCTTAACGTGCTTTTTTGAAGTGTGGATTCCATACTAGTACTGCATACCCCAAGATGGGACTGATGTATGTTGTTTAAAGGACCCAGAATGATTAAGATTTCTGAAAGCTACTCTTAGATTTGACAAACAAACATTGGCAACAGAGATTATTCAGCTGATGTGAGCCTCTGGCAGTGTATCGAGTTAAAGTCTGCAGCCTCTGTCCCCCATGGTCTGTACCCAGTTTCTGCAGCATTTTTTTTTTTTCTTCCTCAATCTTCATTACCTTGCATTTACTAGGGTTGAATTCAAGCAGCCGCTTATCTGACCACTCTTGCAGTTTGTCCAGATCTCTTCGGAGCTTTTCCTCGTCTATTTTGATTCTGCACATCAGTTATCAAACTGGGACATATCCGAATCATTTCCATCTGGAATATCTTTCACATAAACCAGAAACAGTACAGGTCCTAATAACGATCCTTGCATAACTCCACTAGTTACTCTTCCCCATTCTTAAAACTATATGTGAAAACTGCCTCAACTGCTTCCTCACCAAGAGCATTCTACTTTCCATCTACCCAGAGACTGAAGAAATACTACCTGACATCCTTGTGGCTCATCTGTCTTGTAAGTCTTTCGTTAGCCATCATGTAGATCTACATTATTGATGCCAGGATCCCTTGTGTAGATCTATGTTTTGAGCACAACTCCCTCAGATAAGCTGAAAGCAGTAAATTTTGGCCTAGATGTGAGAGAATGGGTCTTTCCAGTGAGTGTGCAGAGTATAAAAAAAAAATCCTACCCCATGATGGGAAAAGCAAAATTCTGACCTTGTGTTTGGTTTAAAACAGTAAGTTTCAGGCATTTTCTAAGATGGTTTAACTGGATATTTTTTGGTATCAGATGATTGAATGGAAGGTATACTACTGAAATAGAATGATTTTGGCTGGTTTCAGGACCAAAAGTAGCTTGAAATCTAGCTCAAAATAGCAGAAATATTTGAATTTACCAATTTTCCTGAGGACAGGTAAGGTTCCCCTACATCTCCTGGTCTGCTTTATAGGTTTTTAATAGGTCTGATTCAATTATTAGAACACCATAAATCATGACCAATCATTCTTTGTTATATTTTATTATTTGAGAAGTAGGGTAAATATTCAATTTTTTATGTGGTGATTAATTCAAAATGGAAGGCAAGTGGAGAGGCCTGAAGATGTGATTAATAAACAGAGGAAATGTTGTTTTAGTGCCTGGAATATCTAGTGTTTATCTTGGACTCTATTTTCAAATTAGAAATTTTTAATTTTGAGTAAAATTGGCCAAATTACTAACTTCCATTAACTTTATAGGATTCTGATAATTTTTTGTGCTCATTCGATAGAAAAAAAAGCATACTAGTGAAATAGCCAAGATACACAAATAACCCGCACATAAAAGACAGAAGCTTACGACGACGTTTCGGTCCGACTTGGACCATTGACAAAGTCACCGAAAACGTCGTCGTAAGCTTCTGTCTTTTATGTGCGGGTTATTTGTGTATCGTTCCAGTCACGGTATTGTGCCTTTTTGTTATTTTAGAAATAGCCAAGAGTTTGGTCGAATGGAGCATTGGAATTGGCTTATAAACACTGAGGGCAATATTAATTTTGGGGGTCTGGAGAGTAAAAGGGTTAACTTCCAGCTGTATCCTTGAGCTCCCATTTCTTGCCTCTCAAATGTCCTGTTCCTAACTGCCCAATCAGTTTCCCTGAGTACTTTGTATGTGTTGTGTGTGTGAGTACATATGTGCAAGCACCTGCACTTACACATGTACATAACAATACTCTATTGTTTACAAAGGCCAAGGCTTAACTCCTGGTGCCACCTACCCTCTTTGGCCTTATTACATCTACTTTTGAAGCTGTGTATTGAGATTGCTTCAACCACAACCTCATGTAAGTAAATCCGCTTTTCAACTACCTTGCTACTCAAGAAATACCTCTTTGTATACTTATGACTCGTCTGTGTCTTCAACTTCCATCCGTGTCCTTTTGATCTTGGTCTTCCTAATTCAATTTTTCTTATCAGCCCTGTCAACCCCTTTTATGTCCCAATCATATCTATCTTAGTTCCTCTTTCTTAATAAGCTTCAGTTACTTTAACCTCTCCTCAATACATTGCTCTTAGTTTTGGTACTACTCACGCTGCAGACCTTTGGATCTTTTTGAGATTTTGCAGTTTATATTGAAGGGGAGGTGGTAAACCTGAAAGGAAAGGTTACTAACTTCTTAATCAGGCACAGCATAAAAAAAAACCATACCACGGGTGGGGTTTGAACCCCGTGGTATGGTTTGTTTGCAATTATGTCATTACGATTTCGTGAGTCAGGCACAGCATTTCTGTACTGCTACTGTTGTTGGGGGGACCCATCCACAGTGGCTTTAAAAAAAAAAAAAAAGGACGACGACTCATAACCTAGATGGCATGACGAGAGTATCAGAGTAGTGACTCTCACTACTTGGCTAAGGCAGTTGGGAGATTGAGTCACCAGAACTCCTAGCAAGAATCAAATTTTAAAACCTCCTTTCCACACTGTGTGTGTGTGTTTGTGTATGCAATTGTCTAATTGAAATTTCCTATTTGAGCCTGGAGTGGGGGGGGGGGGAGGAAGCAGAGCAGGCTCCAACTCTTGGTCCTATCTCTTAATTTTCAGCTGATATGATTGAGCACTATCAGTTATTTTTAACCTTCAATATGGAGTTTGCTCTACTTTGTCATTGGTCAGCTTATTCCATATAGTTGCTACTGTTGTCTGCTATATCTATGCCCTATAGTATTTTGTATGTCTTGATCATATTCCCTCATATTTTTGCTGTTCTGTTTTAAATACCAGCACTCCTACTCATTTCAGCCTATGGACTCGTACTCTTTCTTGCATAGATCTTTCTGTTTGCTCTTCTTCTGTAGTGCAATACCAGATCTACATGACTGTGTTCATTGACCTTTTACTCATGCCATGCCTTTTTGTTTTTAGGATTCTCCTTCATCTTCCTCAGATGAACTGTTACCAATATTTACGTCATTGTTTTAACCGCAGCCTCACTTGCAGTCCTGCATAACCTCAAGTAGACATTTTCAGAAATGTGTACCCTGGTGGATTCCTGCTTGTGTTCATGCAGTAAAACTGAGACATGCTGTGTGGGGTCACTACCACTGCAACAGAACCACAGAATGAGGGCAGTTGCCCATCATATAATTCAGGAGGCAAAGTGTACTTGTTGGCAAGATTATATTTCTGCTGTCAATTCAATTATTTTTATGAGAGCAGTTTAGAAGAAAGTATGGAAATTGAGTGGCAAGTACTCTCCAGACCCAGCTCCTGTTCTTAGTTGCCGGCATCAGTACAGCAGACCCTGCTGAGGTTGCTGCAGAAATTGGACATCATCATGTTTGTATGTCTCAAGGTCTTCATCTATTCTTTTCATTTCTTCCTTCCAAAACTGCCAGAGAGTTGGGATCTTTAGATTTTATTTCTAGCATAGAGGAATCTTATAATGTGCTTTTCATGCTTCATGAACTTGAGTCAGCACTTTCCACTTGCCGATTGTCTGCAGCTGGGCCTGATGGCATCCATAATTGTGTGCTTCAACATTTACCGTATTTCGCGGCTTATAAGACTTGTTTTAGTTTCAGTGGCTTGGCATTGGACATAACTGGGAGAGCTACAGCCCACCCCACACCCCAAACTTATAGCTCCCATCACTGACCTTCAGTTTATAGGATGCAGGGTGGTTTTTGGAGACATTTTATGGGAAAAAAAATGCGTCTAATCCATGAAATACGGTATATCCTATGATGCTCATCATCCTCTTACGTCTCTTCAATCTTGTTTGATCTTAAGGGGTTCTTCTCTTCACTAGAAAACTGCCATTGTTCTGCCCTTTCATAAGCCAGGTACTTTGGGCCATGATACCTCTCACTATAGACAAATTGCTCTTAGTGCAATATGTAAATTAAGTTGTTAGAATGCATGGTAAACAAACATTTGGGGTGGTATTTGGAAATACTAAATGGTTATAAGTATAACCATAATTTCTAAAGGGGTGGACCAGTAAGTCAATGGAAGGCCTCAGTCAGATGATCAAAAGCTCCAACGGCAGGTCATCATCTGACTATGATCGGTGTCAGGAAATGCTTGTCCTGTT